ATATGTATGACCACTTGTCCACTGATGGGCACTTGGGTTGCTTCCATATCTTGGCTATTATAAATAACACTGTAATCAACACAAAGGTGCGTATATTCTTTAGAATTAGTGTTTTGGGTTTCTTCGGATATATACCCAGAAGTGGACTCACTGGGTCATAAGGCAGTTTCATTTTTAATTTTTTGAGAACCCTCCATACTGTTTTCATTTTTTTAAAATATATTTTATTGCTATTTTACAGAGAGTAAGGGAGAGGGATAGAGTTAGAAACATTGATGAGAGAGAAACATCGATCAGCTGCCTCTTGCACATCCCCCACTGGGGATATGCCTGCAACCAAGGTACCTGTCCTTGACCGGAATCGAACCTGGGACCTTTTAGTCTGCAGGCCGATGCTCTATCCACTGAGCTAAACCGGTTAGGGCAATACTGTTTTCCATACTGGCTGCAACAATCTGCATTCCCAATTAACAGTGCATGAGGGTTCCCCTTTCTCTACATCCACCCCAACACTGCTTGTTTGTTGATTTATTGATGATAGACATTCTGACAGGTGTGATGTGATATTTCATTGTGGGTTTTTTTTTGCATGTCTCTGATAATTAGTGATGTTGAGTATTTTTTCATATGTGTATTGGCCATCTGTATGTTCTCTTTGGAGAAGTTTATATTCAGGTCCTTTGCCCATTTCCTTATTGGATTGCTTATTTGGTGTTGTAGGAGTTCTTTGCAAAACCTTTTTAGTTTGAGGTAGTCTCATTTGGTTATTTTTTCTTTTGTTTACTTTGCCCGAGGAGATATATCAGAAAAAATATTACTAAGAGAAATGTCTAAGATTTTACTGCATATGTTTTTCTTCCTGGAGTTTTATGGTTTTGAGTCTTACCTTTAAGTCTTTAACACATTTTGAGTTTATTCTTGTATATTATGTAAGAAGGTGGTTTAGTTTCATTTTTTTGCATGTATCTCTATCTGTCCTATTTTTCCAACACCATTTATTGAGTAGACTGTCTTTACTCCATTGTATGTTCTTGACTCCTTTGTAAAATATTAATTGAAAATATAGACATGGATTTATTTCTAGGCTCTCTATTTTGTTCCATTGATCGATATATCTGTCTCTATGCCACGATCATGCCATTTTTATTACTATCGCCTTATAGTATGTTTAATATCAGGTAGCATGATAGTTCCAAGTTTGTTCTTCTTTTTCAAGATTACTGTGGCTACTTGGGGTCTTTTGTGGTTCTACATAAATTTTTGGATTACTTGTTCTAGTTATGTGAAACACACTATTGGTATTTTGATAGGAAGTGCATTGAATCTATACATTGTTCTGGGTAGTTTGGACATTTTAATGATGTGAATTCTTCCTATCCACAAGCACAATATATGCTTCCATTTATTTGTATCTTTTTCAATTTCTTTCTTCAGTATCTTATAATTTCCCAAGTATAAGTCTTTTACCTTGGTTGAATTTATTCCTAGGTTTTTTGTTTTTTTGTGTGTGAAGCAACTGTAAATAAGATTGTGTTTTCTTCGTTTTCCTTTCTGATAGTTCCTTATTTGTATATAAAAATGCAACCAATTTCTGATTATTAATTTTATATCCTGCTTCTTTACTATTCATTTATTAGTTTTTATGTGTATGTGTGGAATCTTCAGGGTTCTCCATATATAGTATCATGTCTTCTGCAAAAAATGATTTACTTTTTCCTTTCCAATTTGGATGCCTTTTATTTCTTCTTCTTGCTGACTGCTGTGGCTAGGACTTCCAGTACATCCCTGGAATGGACATCCCTGTCTTGTTCCTGATCTTAAGGGAAATGCTTAAGTTTTCCCCACTGAGTATGATGTTTGCAGTGGCTTGTCAAATTTGGCTTTTATTATGTTGAGGTATCTTCCCTCTATTCCCACTTTGCTAAGAGTTTTTATCATAAATGGATGTTGGAACTTGTCGATGCTTTTTCTGCATCTATTGGTTTGATCATGTGTTTTTTATCCTTCATTTTGTTTATGTGGAGTATCACATTGATTGATTTGCAGATACTGTACTAGCCTTGCATCCTGGGAATAAATCCCACTTGGTCATGGTGTATGATCTTTATAATGTATTGCTGGATTCGGTTTGCTAATATTTTGTTGAGGGTTTCTGCATCTATGTTCATCAGGTATATTGGCCTCTAATTTTCTTTCTTTGTAGTGCTTTTATCTGGTTTTGGAATTAGGATAATGTTAATACAATGAGGTTGGGAGTCTTCCCACCTCTTAAATTTTTTGGAGTAACTTGAGAAAATAGGTGTTAGTTCTTCTCTCAGTGTTCGGTGAAATTCACCTGTGAAGCCATCCAATCCAGGATGTTTGTTTGTTGGGAGGTTTTAAGTTACTGCTTTGATTTCATTAGTTGTAATTGCTCTGTTCAGATTTTCTGTTTCTTCTTGATTCAGTTTTGGAAGATTGTTTGCTTCTAGGAATTTATCCATTTTTTCTAGATTGTCCAATTTATTGGCATATAGTTGTTCACACCATTTTCTTATAACCTTTTGTATTTATGTGGTGTCAGTTACTTTTACTCTTTCACTTCTGATTTTATTTATATGGGTCCTCTCTTTTGTTCTTGATAAGTCTGATTAAAGGTTTATCAATATGGTTTATCTTCTCAAAATCATGTCTTAGTTTCATTGATCTTTTGTATTGTTTTTTTAGACTCTATTTTGTTTATTTCCATCCTGATTTTTACAATTTTCTACTGTCTACTCACTTTAGGCTTTGTTTGTTCTTCTTTTTCTAGTTCATTTTGGTATAAGGTTAGAATATTTGAGATTTTTCTTGTTTCTTGAGGTAGGCCTGTAATGCTCTGAATTTCCCTCCTAGGATTGCTTTCACTGTGTCACATAAATTTTGGGTTGTTGTGTTCCCATTTTCATTTGTCTCAAGGTATCTTTTGATTTCTTTCTTGATCTCATTGTTAACCCATTCATTGTTTAGTAACATGTTATTTAGCCTTCATATGTTTCTAACCACTGTGGTCACAGAAGATGCTTGATGTGATTTCAATCTTCATAAATTTATTAGGCTTCTTTTGTGTACTAATGTGGTCTATCCTAGAAAACATGCACTTGAAAAGAAAGTATATTCTGCTGCTTTGGGGTGAAATCTTCTAAAAATACTAATTAAGTCCATCTGTTTCCTTGTTGATTTTATGTCTGGAAGATCTATCCATTGATATCAATGAGGTGTTAAAATTCTGTTCATCTCTCCCTTTATGTCCTTCAAGATTTACTTTACATATTTAGGTTACCAGGGTTATATCGTCTTGTTGGATTGATTCCTTTATCCTCCACTTGCTGGCTGACTTTAGGCTTAGTCACTAAAAGGACCTCTGGAGGAACATGAGCTGCACAAAGTAGGTTCTCAGTGAGTCACCAGGGAGGGGCGAGTTGTGTTCACCAGATTGACAGATTCAAACTCAGCACCAGTGCTGGGACTGAGGCCACTCAGCAGAAGTCTCAGGGCACACCAAGACTAGCCTCTACCCGCTGAGTGCCCATGGACATTTGTGGTGGTGTTGACGTTCTCAGGGTAAGGGCAGCAGAGTTTATCACATTTGGCCACGTGAAGAGAGGGCTCCGCATAGGAAGGGTAGCACCAGAGGGAAAAATGGCCCCAACCCCAGAGCCACACAACTTGGTCTCTGATATCCAGGCCCAGGCAACTGACTCCTTAGCAGGCATGAGCTGGGCAGGGCAGGGCAACAGGGAGTGGGGAGGGTGGGAAAGCACAACAGGGAGTGCTTTCCAGACTGATGCAGTATGGAGGGGAATGCTCAACCCAGGAAAGATGAATCTACAGGAGGTGTGGGAGAGGGACTCAATACAGGCACCTGGCAGCTGTCCCTTCACTCTCTCCCCGGAGCCACACAACTGTCTATCCTCACATGACTCCACTTCACTCTGAACCACACTCCCTCTGCCGGAGCCAAGGGTGAGTGGCTGCAAAAGAGATTTTGTGTGCTGGTCCTTTAAGAGTGCGCCTGGGTTACTAGCAGACTCGGTATCTTCCTGGGTACTGAATCCCTGCTGATTTTCACAGCAAGGTATTATGTGGGCTCCTCTTCCTGGCTCTGGTGCTCCAGGCTGGGGAGCCTGGCTGAGGTTGAGACCTCATGCCCCTCAGGGGACCTTCGCAGCTGAGACATCCCTCCGGATTCTCCACCACCTCGTGTTGAATGGGGACCAGGCCTTTTCATTTCTTTGTCCTTCCTATCAGTCTAAATGTGGCTGCTTCTGTAAATGCTTCATTATACAACTTCTGTTCAGTTGGTCTTCAGGTAGTTATTCAGGTTGATTATTCTATAATTTAGTTTTAATTCCAGTTTGGACTTGGGAGGAGGTGAGTGTAACTTCTACCTATGCTGCCGCCTCTTGGATCTCCATCTGCCCTTTCTTTTTAAGAGTCATGTCTGTACTGACAAAGCACATTTAAGGAGTGGCTTGCCCTCAGGGCACAAAAGGCACTGACATCAAACACAAGAAACATTCTAGTATGTGCCTCCTGGTCTCAAGACTAGGTCCTGACAAACCTAACCGATTCCTTGTCTGCTTTCTCCCCTTAACTCTCACAGCCGCTGATCCTGGTGTTCATTCTGTATTTATGATCTTCATTTGTTCTTTAGAAAAGACTTAGGGGCTCGATGTCTCTCCCTTTTATGAACCATAGGGCTGTCTGCCTCAGCAATGTACTCAATGATTGCTTGCCCAGCCAACCTCCCAATGTTCAAACAATACCCCCTGAACCTTCTCCCTTCCTGAGAGTGCTTCACCAACCTTTGCCAGGCGGGAGCTTAGTACAGACGTACAATGGCTGCCTTTCCTTTCCTTCAGATATCTTATTACAGAAGAAAACCGTAAGGCAGGTGTGGAGTAGTGTGGAAGTCAGAAAAGTTCCTCCGGAGGTTGTGTACATTACGGTTTCTGAGTGTCAGAAATAAAGGTACTCACCACCTGACCAGTAGTCCATGTTCCATGAAGTTTTTCAGGTTGGGAAGGGTTTGCCTCAAGTCTGGAGTCCCAAGTCCATGTTGGTATCTCAGCTGCAAAGGTAGAAAAATAGAATTAAAAGAAATTCTGGCAGATACTAGGCAATGCTTCAGAAACATGATCTATTAAACATGTTGGTGTTATTTTTTTACTCAAAAACAGGAAATATGAATGTATGATCCCAATATCATCAACCACACTTTTGGGATGGTGTTTAAAAGTACCCCTTTCATTTCTTGCTCCTTTGCCCCCTAAAGTTGGAGAAGATCAAGAACGACTAACTGTGGAAGCAAAATATTTCAAAGACCCTTGTAGGATTTGCTACCATTGATTCCAGGGACAGAGACCATAAAACCAGCGTTTGGTTTTAGGTACTGAAGGCTGGTATTATATACTCTGAGCACATTCAGCCCTTCTTTTGCTGATCCTCTCTTTGTATGAGCAAGGGTAAGAATCATGTTGTATTCTTCTGATAGCTAAAGTGTCTGATACAATGCTAGTGCTCAGTGCTTACTAAACGAATGAGTAGCACTTTTGACAGAGGACGTGCTCTATATTTCTCTTGTATCTATAATTTCCCTCTTTATGCAGAACGAGAGCACAGAGCCGAAGGACTAGATGAGGAAACTATGGCCTGTGGGCTTGATCTGCTCTTAGTTTTACTTACTTCTGCTAGAGGCTGCTTTTTAAAATTAAGTATCCTTCTATGTTCCTTGAGTATCTTGCTAAATGTTTTCATCTGTCTGTTTCTTGCATCCCCTCACTGTCTCTGAATATCATCTGCTTCCTTAACTGACCATAATAAGATCTGAAATAGGTACATGTGCACATTCATACACATGCTCACACACATAATATCAAATACACAGTAAGTGTGCAACACAACCCTGCAGAAATGTATTTTTCAAATGAGATAATGCATGTGCAAAAAGCACTTTGCAACTGTATATTGTACAAATGTGAAGGATCATCAGTTCTGAAGTTTTACTTTTCTAGTAACTTTTATTTATTCATTTGAATTTTTGTGACTTTGAGCCAAACTGTCGACAATTGCCAGGAAGCAGAATCTCAACGTTTGGGATAATAAACTGGACAATGGTGTTTTTTTCACCTTGTTTTATATATTACATCAAAGAGGAGACATATGTAGGTTACATGAAATCCATTGGTGATAGATTAGGGAGGCGGGAGAAAGCAAAGAGGGGGGTAGTAATCTCTGGGAATGGATAAAAAGTAAAATGATAGACACATACTTCTTTTACTTAGGTGAGTACAGGATAGTTAACAGTCAACAATTAATCCTATATCATAAAAGCCTAATATGCAAATTGTCCCCTCGACCGGGAGTTCAACCACTAGCTATGACGTGCACTGACCACCAGGGGGTGATGTGGAACATGGCGGATGTCAGCAAACATGTCTCGCTGGCTACCTTGGGGCGGAGGTGTGGGGACAGAGGTGCGGTGAGAATGCAGGATGTCTGCTGAGCTTGCTCTCATTCCCCCTGCTACCTCCCCCACCCCCCGGGAAACCAGGGGTTGCATGCAGGGGAACCCCCATGCTCAGGTGCCTGGTGCCTGTGAAGAGCCTGCTCCACACCCACCCTGCCTCTTTCAAGTGAGCTGGGCTGCAGTTGCTGGGACTGTAGGGACCGGTCAGGCTCCCTGGGGGTTCAAGCGGGAGTCAGTCTGAGAGGCAGGCCGGGAGAGAGCATGCTGCCGCCTGGCTTCCATGCGGCAGCTCTGGGTGGCTCAGAGGCCCACACTGCGCCCCGGCCCACGGCATCTGGCTGCGCTCACTGCATCTCCGCGTGGGGACTCGGGTGCGGTGACTCAGGCGGAGGGGGGCACGCAGTGGCCCGGGGGCCCAGGTGCTGCCCAGGGCCCAGAGGTTAGCTGAGACCTGCCCTTCCATGCCAGACCTCATGCTTTGATTGCCGGACAGGCCTAGGGGTAGCACCCGTGCACCAATTTCATGCACCGGACCTCTAGTATAACAATAACAATGAAGGAATTTATGGTCTCCAGTCCTGGAGCCCAGGTGCATTTGGTTGTGCCCCAAGGGGTCTGGAAAAAGGGACGTTACAAGTTACTCTGACATGTTACCTTAGATGCAATAAGACAATAAGCTCAGTTAAGGTAAAGATTGACCTTGTCAGGGAAGATACTGGCCTAGTACATGACTACCCACCATGACTGCTTTCAGTTAAAGTTTTAATTTTAGACCATCCTTTGTAGTTACCTTAGGTCTTTGAGTTTGCAAGACTGTCATGCAGGCCTTCCCTGAGCTTGTCAGGTTACCATGTGGCTCCTTTCGTCCCCATATCCCTCTTTTGGTCATAAATCAATCCAAAGGATGCGTTGATGACCAACCTTTTGTGTGGATAATGGAGTCCAACAGTTTCTAGCATCTAACTTTAAAAGTGACCAAGTCAAACATCTAAATATTTTCTTCTTTTAAAAAATAAATCCATGACCAACAAAAAAATATTAAAGTACGTCTTCCTTTGTTTGTATCTAGTACTCAACTGATTTTTCACTTAACAGAGAAGTTTATTCTTTCTTTTTTTTTTTTTATAAATATATTTTATTGATTTTTTACAGAGAGGAAGGGAGAGAGATCGAGAGTTAGAAACATCGATGAGAGAGAGACATCGATCAGCTGCCTCCTGCACATCTCCCACTGGGGATGTGCCCGCAACCCAGGTACATGCCCTCGACCGGAATCGAACCTGGGACCTTTCAGTCCGCAGGCCGATGCTCTATCCACCGAGCCAAACCGGTTTCGGCAGAGAAGTTTATTCTTACTACAATGAACTTTTAAAGGAAAATGCCAAAACCTAATCGGGTCTCTGGAATACTCACACAATGCAAGGCAGTAGAAACATAGAATTTTAAAGCCAAAAGGAATTGTGAATATTATTTAAGCCAACACTTTGCTTTTGCAGATGGGGACTGAAGCCCAGAAAGGGAGAGTAAATTCTCCAGGACCACAGAGCTCAATGGCAAAGATACTATTAGTCAGAGCCTCCCTTTCACAACCATGTTCCTCCGCCATTTACCCCAGAGCCAGAGGAAAACTGGTAAAAACACTTGAAAAGACAAAAGGAAAGTACTTTTTCCCTTTTCCAAAGCTTAGCTTGGTGACCTCAGTCCCTCCTGAGATCTGTTGACCTTGAATGGTAAGATCGACTCCATGTTAAATGACATCATTTCTTACATTAATATAAAAGCTTTTTCCATACATTGATAAAAGTGAAATGGCTGATATCCCAATATGACATTCCTGAATTCATTGTTTCAATAAAAAAGTGAAATTGTTTACACATGGCATGGAAATTTCACCTGTGATTCATACTGAAAAATATTAAATATCAAAAAACCATACTGAAATAACACTAAGCTATGTGTCCCTGAGCCAGTACATAGTCAATTGCCTGCCCCAGGTCCACAGTGGAAGGTGGGTGTTGAATTCTTTTCAGAGACCACAATGAAAATTTGTCTGCAAGTCTGATTTCAACCAAAAAGGGAAAATGTGGGCATTTTGAGCCTCCACCCAGGCCTTAACTCTTCATTTGCTGCATAGCACAATTATTTTTTATCACAGAATCTTAGAATGTGACAGCTTAAAGAGACACTAGAGGTCATCTTCTCCAACCCCCCTCTTTTCATAAATGAAGAAACTAAAAAAAAAAAAAGAAGAAGAAGAAAGAAACTAAGACTCAGTAAAGCAAATGTCCTGCCCAGGTCACAGAGCTGATAAAGGACAAAGCCAAAGCTAGAACCTAATAAGAACTCCAAATTCTTTCTACCACGTCATCCTTTTAATTTTCAACATATGAGATCAGCCAAAGAACATATATGTACATATGCATAGGCCATGGACACAGACAACAAAGTGGGAAAGTCCAGGGAGAGGGAGTGGGGGCTGAAGGACAAAGGTCGGGGCAGGGGGAGAGGTAATGGGAGACATCTCTAAGAGTGTTAACAATTAAATCAGAGAAAAGAAATTCACATATAATACAAATACATTAATATCTATAATAATAAAAGCTTAATATGCTAATTAGACCAGACAGCCAAATGACCTTCCAGAAGTCCTTCTGGACGTCACCGCAGCGGCAGGGCCAGCGGTTAGGAGCCAGCGGTCCCAGACTGTGAGGGGGATGTCCAACTGCCGGACATCCCCTGAGGGGTCCCGGACTGTGAGAGGGTGCAGGTTGCGATGAGGGACTTCCCCACCCCCCATGCACGAATTTCGTGCACCATGCCTCTAGTTTCAAATAAAGTACATGTACTGTTTAATAAGTTGAAACTACTATAAAGCATCTAATGAAAAAGCAACAGCTCTCTGCTCTTCAGCAGCAACTACTTTAACTGCTTCTTTTTTTCCATATCTCTGAATAATATACTTATATTAATATTTCTTATTCTTCCAATTTTAGCCATCATCTACCATGTTCTAATAATGAAATATAAGAAGTTAGCTCTCCCATATCACTCTTCTCTTAGACTAACATTTTATCCCCTTACCCACACAATATCTACTTTTAATTAAAGCATACAAGGATTTAACGCTGTATTCTCCCAAATATACTTCTCTTCCTCCTCCCCTCAAGATATTCAAAATCACATTTTTTTTTGTTAAATCAATAGTCAGTGTTTACTTTACTACAAAAATACTGTTCACTGCTGAGCTATGTAATATACTATCCCCTTTTTTGTAGTTTTTGTGTTTTTCTTAAAGTGCTATTTGCCATTTTTTCCCACTTGTTGAGTACCTACCTTGTTAATAGTACTACTTGTTGAGTACCTATGAACCTATCACTAGATCCTCCCCAAACTAGGACAAAACCTTAAAATCATTCTGAATCTGATTAAAAACACCATATAACCCATCACGTCCATTTGCTCCCTTGATATTTCCTGAAGCATCTCTCTCTCTGCTCCAATCTGAACTGGCTGCTCTCTAGGCTTGTTCCATTGCTATCTGCCTAGAACTTTCCTTCACCATCACCTTGGACATTCTGGCTTACTTCTTTTCTGTGTTGAAG